CCAAGTATAGCTCGTAACAATCTATCTTCCGGGGCATACGACGATTCTTTCACGACCTGGGGTGCTAATTTACCTACTAAAATATCACTCGTCTCTACCAAAGATCCCAGCATCACAATTCCATTTTTATCTAAATTGCGGAGTAAATGGGCTTCTAAATGCGATATTTCATTAGTTACTTTTTCAGGGCCTTGGCTTGTCACATGAGTCTGAATTTCATATTTCCGTATGTGAAAAGAAGTATAAATATCTTCATATACCAAANATCTTCATATACCAAACGCTCGCTAATAAGTACTGCATCTTCAGAATTGTAACCCTCCCACGACATATAAGCTACTAATACGTTTTTCCCCAAAGCAAGTGCGCCACCAACCATAGTAGCACCATCCGCTAAAATTTGTCCTTTTTAATGTATTTACCCCGGGGAACCTGGAGTTTTTGATGCATACAAGTATTTTTGTTGGAACGTTGATATATAACTAATGGAATTCTTAGAATATCTCCATTACCTGCTAAACAAATCTTGTAAGTATTGGTATAAACGACCCTTCCTTCATGTTCGGCTTATAATCTGGAAGTTCTTCTCAGATACAAGGAAATGATTCAGTTCCAGAGCTAAAGATCGTAGTTCTCGAACGAGCAATCAAAAAGATTCTGGAGCATATTCGGGATTAGGTATTGTTCCCCCAATGTTCGTAGTACCAAGTACTTCCTGGCGAGCTCTAATATGATACGATTTATAAGTAAGCATCTCTTGTAAAATATGAGCAACCCCAAAGCCTTCTAGAGCCCAAACCTCCATTTCTCCTACCTACTATCCCCCCTGTTTGGCTCTTCCTCTAAGGGGTTGTTGTGTAACAAGTGCATAATGTCCACTGGAATGCCCATGGATTTTATCATCAACTTGATGAATTAATTTCAATATATAAGGCTTTCTTATTATAACAGGTTGTTCAAAAAGATTCCCCGTCCTTCCATCAAATATTCTGCTTTTTCCTAGATATTTGGGTTCAAATACCCATGGATTCGCTGTTTGCTTACTGGCTTCATATAATTCAGAAAACACTAGTTTTCTCGAAGCTTCTTGTTCATATCTCTCATCAAAAGGTGCTATTCGATAATGTCTGTCTAGCAGACTCCCTGCTAACCCTAGTGAACATTCAAATATCTGTCCTACATTCATTCGTGAAGGTACTCCTAATGGGTTAAAGACCATATCAACGGATCTTCCATCTTGTAAATAAGGCATATCTTGTCTAGGCAAAATTTTTGAAATGATACCTTTATTTCCGTGTCTTCCAGCTACTTTATCGCCTACTTTGATTTCACGTTTCTGTGAAATATATACACGAATCGTTTCGGGATTATAACTAGAACCACCCCTTTTCTGGATCCACCTCACATCAATAACCCGACCCCTGCCACCTATAGGTAATTTTAGACAAGTTTCTTTTGAAGTAGATACCTGAATACCAAGTATAGCTCATAACAATCTATCTTCCGGGGCATACGACGATTCTTTCACGACCTGGGGTGTTAATTTACCTACTAAAATATCACCCGTCTCTACCCAAGATCCACGCATCACAATTCCATTTTTTTCTAAATTGCGGAGTAAATGGGCTTATAAATGCGGTATTTCATTAGTTACTTTTTCAGGGCCTTGGCTTGTCACATGAGTCTTAATTTCATATTTCCGTATGTGAAAGAAGTATAAATATATTCATATACCAAACGCTCGCTAATAAGTATTGCATCTTCAGAATTGTAACCCTCCCATGAAATATAAGCTACTAATACATTTTTCCCCAAAGCAAGTTTGCCACCAACCGTAGTAGCACCATCAGCTAAAATTTGTCCTTTTTTAATGCATTTACCCCGAGGAACTTGGAGTTTTTGATGCATACAAGTATTTTTATTGGAACGTTGATATATAGCTAATGAAATGCTTAGAATATCTCCATTACCTGTTAAAAG